GATTTCCGGTCACACTCGAAAGGTCATACGATCTTGTGCGATGTTTATTAAACGATTGAAGTGATGAAAGGTTTTCAAAATCGGAGTCATTAGTTTGCGATGAATTTTCAATCTTTTGGCCTCCTGACCGAGGTAAAAACTCTTGTAACTCTTGCTTCTAAAGGACCGCAGTGACGTGTTGTGACTTTATTTCTATTCACGGCCGGGTTCGGACGCAGTTGCTGAGCAAACGTACGTTTCTCTTTTGGACCTTTTGGCTTAAAATTGTGGATTTTGTGACTCAAAACGACGCAACAGAAGTTGGAAATAACTTTCCTTACTGTAAAAATGTGTTACGAGTAATGGTGAGTAATCCTTTCATGTAAAATTTTTCTTTTAGTTTGACAACCGTCGGCAAGCCGTCTAATTTGCATAAATTTCCCAATTCAATTGCTATCACCGCTTGCTTTGGTGTCAGGATGGTATTTGATTTCCAGAGCTAAAACTTTCCAGTAAGTTAGTACAAAAGCCAAGGTTCCATTTTATATTGATTTTATGATCAAGCGGCATATACCAGAGGCCTTTTTTAATGGTCAAAGTTGCCCTTCATTTTCTAGCACGTCTAACGTCACAAATATGACCTCTTTAGACTTGTCGATTATAAAAATATAAAACATTGTTTTTCAAATTTTCTTTTAAGGTTTTAAAGAGTAAGAACAAAAGAATAATTCGGTGAAGTTTCAATGTCAGGGAATGTTTCTTACGCCTTCACCCCTCTTTCAAAGTTGCCATTGCATCCTGCCGTGTTTTGTGCGAAAAACAGGCATAAAATCGATTTTTCAAACTTTTTTTAATTTCTCCTTTAAAATGAATCGTTTGAACCCAAAACTATTTTTCCTTAAATTAGGTCACTAAAAGGGATGTTTTGGCAAAATTAAAAAAAATTCGATTTTTTGACGAGTGTCGTGCGATTCTCGATTTTCTCAGAAAATGGCTCTTAAGAAAGTGTCAGAACAAATTTGACTGTCTTATTTTTGAAATGTTTTTTATCCAAGAACTGAAACCGACGCTTAACAAACAGTGCGATTCAATTCGCGCCAAATTATTTGTTTAGAGTAGTTCTTGTTAACATTGTTTTATTTCCATTGTTTTTTTGTTTTTTTTGACTTTATAAATATTTTTAGCACTTTTTACATTTTTACATATTTTACCACATTTTAGCGTTCACCACATTTTTATCTATTATAACTTGTTTTTAACTTATTTATGCTAATTTAGAGAACTTTTATACACTTGAAAATGACCTCGGAGAGGTCGAAAAATCGTGATTTTTTATCGCTAATATTTATCTCAAAATCGATTTCTAAGAAACTACTTGTTAATTAAGTGCAGCGTTAATTTCGGCGCTCTTAATTTCCAGTATTTTAACCCCAAGCTTGGAACCTGTCCAGACATTCTTGATACCTAAAAAACATTAACTACAAGCTTTCTTTCTTTCAATTAACCCTTTATTTTTCATCTTTCTCAAAAGCTAGGGCGAAGGTTTACAATATTTCGGGTTCATCTTCATCGTTGCCGCTGTCAGAAATGATGTCAATATCTTCTCCTTTGATTTCGCGTAATTAATCGCGTTAATTTCCTTTATCATGAAATTCTACCTCCTCTTTCGCGTTAATTTTCTTTATTCGAAAGTCGTTTTCCATTAAATTCGCGTTAATTTAAGTCGCGTTAATTTCCAATACCTTAATTTCATGGAGCGTTAATTTCCTATAATAAGAAGGTATGCATCTACGATGTAAAGTTTGCATTCCATGGTCACTCTTAGTTACAACATCCGTTTCCTGATGATCGATGAAATGTCTCAGAGTAAACTGGTTAAACACTGAAAAGTCCGTAATTTTCCAAGTGGAGACAACTGTAGACAAATCAGTTTACAGGATACCCAGAGAGGATAATGATTACTAAGTATCTTTACCGGAAGAATATAAACGTGACAAAATAATTCGAGGGAAAGAGCTTGTTAGAAAGACAAACAATACAGAAAAATGAAAGATAGCAACATAAATGGCTGTCCTTCACGAATGGTTTAGCCATTGTCTTAACACCGTTCACGAATGTAGTCTAAAAAAACAACGCGCAAGCTGGTATAAAAGTTCGGTTTGCGTGATCTAAACTAGATCTGTAAAAAATATTGCAATCATTTGAAAATATAAATGCTTGAACTTGGAAACTCTTTATTGTTCTCAGTAATATCCGCGTCTTACTGTCACTTGGGTCATGCAGTAGCTAACCGTGGGTAATATTAGCGATTAGGAAACGCATAGTCAAGGAAAATCACCGAAATTATATTCCTTGGAGAAACACTATCCTATTGCAAACCGAATCCACAACACACCCTTTTGCTCAAATTAAACGTTTTAATTCTTGGCTAAATTGGGATAAAAATGCAGGCAAATACATATATCTGCTCAGCGTCAATGACTTACCAGACAAAATGACTGTGAGGGTTAAGAGCCAAGCTGAAACACAATGCATTGCTTGGGGATTTCTTTAGCTTTATCTGCGGTAAATTTTGCTTCCTCGTATGAAACTGGGTGCGCGACGCGATCAGTTGTTCGGGGACAAGTGAAAGAGGAAATGACAGTATATATATTGTTCCCAGGCCTCCACCTCCCAATGTAAAAAATTAAAAGCGACTTGCGGTTTCCCGATTTCATATTTAGGACGGACAAGTTCAAAATTCTTCAAAATTACTACAAAATTTTACGGAAAAAAGAACGGGCTTTGGTGTCCACGGCTCACCCGTAAATCGTGCGGGCGTCACCACTGAGGGGGTACTTCCTATAATGCTATCCAGATATGGAGAGGCTACGCCCGAAAGGGGTACCTTTTTCAGGCCATAGGTACATGAATTACAAGTTGAAGTGTATATAAAAGGCTGGGGAAATGTCTCATTTCAGTCTGTAAAAAGGCACAAAAGGGCTAACGGATGTATTTCATGGCTGTGGAAAATTCGAGAAAACGTTCTGGCTTTGTGCTTTATTCATATCTAAAAGACAGTGCATTTACAGCTGTTAAAAGGGATGCAAAGTTCTAAATTAGGTAGGTGAAAGGGGTACCATTTGTCATGCAATAGAAGGCATACGAAAGAGGGACCTTTTCTGTCAAAAATGGTATGTAACAGGGTAAGGGGTTGTAAGGGGTTGGATCTCGTGGCGTAGCCTTCCCGTCCGGGGACGTCACTGGGAATAGTCAAAGAGAATGCTCACTGACTTGTCAGCACACAACCGCATCATTGAATATGACGATCTTTGAAGTTCCCTAACAATTTTCGTGGTTCAGCAGATGTAGCACAATGTGAACGGAGATTCCCTCTGATTCACTTATTTTGAAAAATAGTCTCCCTTGCAGCCGTTTTTGTCTCGTCACGCAACATTCCTCAACAATGAGGAAGGGAAGAGCGTTACGTGACGAGACAAAAACGGTTGAGAAGGAAGACTACTTAGTAAAGAATTGAAAACAGGCGTGGAGAAGTATTCATATTTCATTGATTGATAATCAGAGAACAGTAGTCGCTGTTTTCCTCTTTCACGGAGGATAATTAATTTATTGTCCAACCAGCAATTGCTGGTAGTAAGTTTATACGTTATGAAAAGTACACCACATTACAGGGCGAAACAAGTAAATACACTACATTCTAATATTGAACCTAATCGTGTAACCGCAATGTGAAACCAAACTTTTCTCTCATTACTAGCTCGTTCAATCGGCGAGAAAAATGATGAGGCACCGTCCTCATTTAGGGTAACTTCGGAGAACAAAACAATCTACAGTCCTCTCCCTCAGCTCCCCACCATTGAAGGTTGTGATGTTTGATATTTATTATTATGAAAACGTTTATTTAAGTTAGAAGCCAAGACTCCAAACTTACTAACTGCCTTTTAACAGATATAAACAGATCAAAAACGACAAAAATCATTCATTCACTTTTTTCATGTTTATTTGGAAACAGAGAGGAAAAAATTGAGAATATTTACGTTATGTGTATATACGTTACTTTAGGTGTTTTGTGTTACTGTAGATGGAGGATGTAATACTTTAATTACCTAGTTATTTGATGTATTTTTTGCCATCTTTCTTTAAGCACCAGGTGGTGGAGTTATGGATCTTTTGCCTTCAGTGGCTTGCAGGTAAAAATCCTCATAACCATAACAAATCTTTTTAAAATTTCCCACAACAATAGGTAACAAGAATGTGATAATAGTTCACTACCACAGGCGAATTTTATGTCCTCCTTGTATGTCTTACCAGTCAGTTTCTCTGGTGTCACAGCTGATGGAATAACCAAATAATGTGACTTAAAAAATTGAGAAATCACTGAACAATACTCACTCCACAACGCATTAACTGACAAGAATATTTGCCACAGTGCGAAGAGATGTCCTTCTTGGGAGATGCTAGTTTGTTTTTTTTTGCCAACCTTAGTCAACTTTCGCATTGATCTTCAAGTTGAAAGAACAAGCAGTCTAATTTTATCTTGACATGGGCTAACTCATCTCAGTCGTTTTCTGTTGTTTCTGCAGAGGAGGCTTCATGGTAGACGTGGCTCAGTCAAAGCTTTCAGCCAACAATGTTTTCACCATCGCCAAACGCACTGTGGAAGGCCAGGTTAGTTCAATTACATTACTCTTCTTATTTTTACGTCAAATGTCATCTTAAAGGAAAACTTCCACTGTTAGAAAAGTGACCGAAATTTGGTTGAAAAAATGTCAGAATTCTAAGTTCACTTTAGGTGATTTTAGTGGACAAAGAACTGATGAAATAATCGCCTTTTTTAAAAAAGTGGAGCTTTCATTTAATGACATCACATTTATTATCCCAGTTCAACTGTTGATTTCTGGGAGATTCTGGCGTTGCGTTAGGAGGTTTTACCTGTGGATGCGTTAACCTAGGGCATTTATGTTCTCATGGATTTCTTTCTTTTCCCAGGACATGTTGTATCAGTCATTGAAATTTACCAATGGAATATGGGTTCTAGCTGAGCTCAAGATGCAGCCTGGTAATCCTGTGGTACAAGTAAGTGACCCGGCGCTGGTCATTTCACTTTTTGGTTTTAGAAACCGTACAAACTATAGCCCTGAAAGGCTACTGTGATCAATCCAACTGGCTTTAAAAAAGCCTTTTTTGAGGGGCCATTTTATCGTTTCTCATCCGGATTGAACTTCTAGTGTCCTAAATTCCCTGTAGCCAAATCCGGCGCTTATTTAAAACATTAGAATCAAAGATCGCTTGCTTTATTATCGAGTATCCCCAGGTACGCCCTTGGGATACTCGATAATAAAGCAAGTATTCTTTGATGCTAAATGCCCCAAAGCTGAACACGAGTCATTATTCAGTGTGAAAAAGCATTCTGGAGTCAATTTTATAAAACTTTGACAATTGCAATTTACAAGAGTAACTATTATTTTAGCGTCTGAAAACAATAGCTACACTTTTTGACGCCAGGTTTCTGTAATGACGCATGTTTTGGAATGGTTTTTAATTGAGTGTCATAAGTTAGTAACTACTAAAACCAATCACAGTGGATGCAAACAGTCAAGTAAACCAATCAGAACACGAGTCAAATATGTGTAGACGGCGTAAAGCGCAGAAAAAACGGTCGATTTAATGAAGAGTGGTTTCATTGTTTATAGCCTGTTGTGAACTGGAGGTATCGTTCAGACGAGGTTAATGCGGGGGGATTCGGAACGGTTCCTCGCGTGAGCCTTGACTGCAATTTAGTTCCAGTTTATTTTTTTAACTCTTCATCATCGTTTCTAACGCCCAGTTCAGACGTCGTGCTTCTGCCGTGCCGAACTAAATTCAGGAATTAAGTTCGACAAAAGCACGGCAGAAGCATGGCGTCTGAATCAAACTTTTGAATTAAGTTCGGCAAGCAATTAAGTTCGACAAGCGCTGCCGTGCTACACGGCTCTGGCACGGCAGCGTAAATTCAGGAATTAAGTTCGACAAAAGCACGGCAGAAGCATGGCGTCTGAATCAAACTTTTGAATTAAGTTCGGCAAGCAATTAAGTTCGACAAGCGCTGCCGTGCTACACGGCTCTGGCACGGCAGCGATGCAAACGTCGTGCTTCTGCCGCGCTAAACAAAATTCATAAATTATATTAATGTATTTTGGCGAGATTGCGTTCCCACGGGGAGTTGGGAGAAGAATTGTTACGAGGCATCATTAAATCCTGAATTTTGTTCGACTCTGGCACGACGTCTGAATCAAAGTTGTTTTCCTGCCGTGCTACAGTCGAACCAAATTGCAATTAAGTTCGGCACGGCAGAAGCACGACGTCTGAACTGGGCCTAACTTATGTTTGTTGTTTCTACAGTTGTCCTTGAAGACGCGCGCTATGGACGTGGTGATGGGGGTGCAAAGCATGTACGAAACCATCCTACACAACTAAAACCCGGCGGCACTCAGTGAAGAGGTTCACTTGCTGAGAATTTCCCGCACGTTTAAAAATAAATCGGCTAGAAATGTTCAAATAGAGTAAACTGAAAGAAATACATTTGGCGTCAAAAGTATCTACAGATTGTGTTGTGTTTTGTACTTCGCGGTGTTTGGCTGGAAACGGCACCTGATGTGGATTACAAAAGCAAGCAGCTGAGGGCAACACGTCGATAGTTTCTCAATCTTCCCCTTACCGTGACCAATGCACTTTTCACCTCAGTTTACGAAGTCTTTAATTAACATCACAGTTTCTTTACAAACTAAACCCATCATACGTTGATAAAGACACTTACTACTCAAAACAGTTACTTTTCTAGTAATTTATGTTTTGCTTCTAAGAAATTGATTGATTGTCCAGTCAAACTGAGCTATAGTCCTCTATCTTGAGTCCTCTAACAATCCTGCTGATTGCACACATTTTATCCCGCGTTATTTGGCCATTCTTCTCCCCCTACATCTCCTCCTCCTCCCCAGTTGTAATTGCCACGCGGCCATCTTACCCTGTCGATGTTCTACTTTATTGACTCTGATGAGACCAAAATTTATTACTCAGTTCAGTAGAGGCAGCTACTTAAAATCTATAACCGTGCATTAAATGCACGCATTTTGGTGGGAATCTGTGCATCCCCTTAAGAAAAAGAAAAATGACATTAAATATTGATGGTTAATGCATCCCGAACAAGCCCTATAAGATTTTGAGGAGAAACAAGAACGCGCTTAAAGCGGCATTTCCGTCTCGCCTGCTTAGAGATTGAATCGAGAAATGAGGAGGCCATTAATTCTACAAGAAACATGATTTACTCTCTAAAGGTTTTTTACTTCCTTCTTTATCGACGTCGATACTTTTTGTTTCTGAATTGATTTAGTACGCGTGTTAGCAACGACTAAAAATACCCCCGTGGTAAGAGGGTATACGCGTGTATAAATACACGAAAATTCAAGGGCCTCGATTCCAGAGAAATAACATCAATGCCAGATATCGAAAAAGTGATTTACATGGCACGTCTTTTCAATCATCGCCGAAAATAAATCGCTTGTTCATCCCAAGACTCATTTGCATACAGTGAGAGTTTACAACTCCCGACCATCGCAATTTTGCTAATTCAGATTCTCATTTTTTTTTTCGAACAAGCCCTATAAGATTTTGAGGACAAATAAGAACGCGCTTACAGCGGCATTCGCATCTCGCCTGCTTGGAGATTGGATCGAGAAATGAGGAGGTTTTTTACTTCCTACTTTATCGACTTTGATACTTTTTATTTGTTTCTGGATTGATTTAGTACGCGTGTTAGCGACGACTAAAAATACCCCTGCGATAGCAGGCTATACGCGTGTATAAAATACACGAAAATTCAAGGACCTCGATTCCAGAGAAATATCATCATTGCCAGATATCGAAAAAGTGATTTACATGGCACGCCTTTTCAATCATCGCCGAAAATAAATCGCTTGCTCATGCCAAGACTCATTTGCATACAGTGAAAGTTTACAACTCCCGACCATCGCAATTTTGCTAATTCAGATTCTCATTTCTTTTTTTTTCGAACAAGCCCTAAAGATTTTGAGGACAAACAAGAACGCGCTTACAGCAGCATTCAGGTTTCGCCTGCTTGTAGATTAGATCGAGAAATGAGAAGGCCATTAATTCTACAAGAAACATGATTTACTCTCTAAAGGTTTTTTACTTCCTTCTTTATCGACGTCGATACTTTTTGTTTCTGAATTGATTTAGTACGCGTGTTAGCGACGACTAAAAATACCCCTGCGGTAGCAGGCTATACGCGTGTATAAAATACACGAAAATTCAAGGGCCTCGATTCCAGAGAAATAACATCATTGCCAGATATCGAAAAAGTGATTTACATGGCACGTCTTTTCAATCATCGCCGAAAATAAATCGCTTGCTAATCCCAAGACTCATTTGCATACAGTGAAAGTTTACAACTCCCGACCATCGCAATTTTGCTAATTCAGATTCTTATTTTTTTTTCGAACAAGCCCTACAAGATTTTGAGGACAAACAAGAACGCGCTTACAGCGGCATTCAGGTTTAGCCTGCTTCGAAATTAGATCGAGAAACGAGGAGGCCATTAATTCTACAAGAACTGAATTGATTTAGTACGCGTGTTAGCGACGACTAAAAATACCCCTGCGGTAGCAGGCTATATGCGTGTATAAATACACGAAAATTCAAGGGCCTCGATTCCAGAGAAATAACATCATTGCCAGATATCGAAAAAGTGATTTACATGGCACGTCTTTTCAATCATCGCCGAAAATAAATCGCTTGCTAATCCCAAGACTCATTTGCATACAGTGAAAGTTTACAACTCCCGACCATCGCAATTTTGTTAATTCAGACTCTTTTTTTTTTTTCGACCACTCAGTAGTGTTCACTTGCTCCAAAGTAATCAACGCTTTCAAGCGATGGAATTCGTGGACCGACACGTTTCGGAAAAGCTCTAACTTTAATCTTTCCTAAGCATGCGTGGCTTCCATTACGCAACGATTCTTAGTCCCAGTTTCCACGGTGTCTGCAAGGAACGCCTGGCACAATGACCTCCGATTTTTGACCCAAAAACGACAACAGTGCCCGGGGGAATATTTCCAGATTAATTGGGTGGGGATGTGCGGCACGCTTCCTGAAACCCTCACCCTATTTCAGACCAAAATCTGTGATTTTCCCTACCCTATTTCAGACCTGATAGAAAATTTGATACCCTATTTCAGACCTGAAGCCCTGGAGCCCGGCACGTGACCGGAGCGCGTGGCAAGCTGTTACGGCACGTACACGGTAGTTGGCGTAAACCAGGGAAATGGTCTTATTGCCAAATGATGAAGAAGTAGCTAGTTCTTCTAAAAGACATACCTCATTCAAGACTAGAGTGCACAAGCCATACCCTATTTCAGACCAAAATGGTCGAAACTGATACCCTATTTCAGACCAAAACGGCTGTAAAAAACATACCCTTTGGCGCCGCACATACCCATATACCCTATATAAGGGACTACCCCCTCCCCCCGGGCGAAAAACGCGTTGCAGATTATAAGTCTCGCTGCTTACGCAAGCGAGACTAACTAGTGGTGGTGTAAATTAATTTGGCGCAAGTGTTTCTAAAACACCTTTCCCACCGAGGTGTAAACATAGCCTCAGAAGCTGGCCATCAAGATGTACAGACAATCCAGTAAGGTGAACATCACAATCTCCTTTGAACCACAAGAGCTTCTTCCGGCTCCATTGGGATTCGGACTAGGTGAGTATGCTGCTACCATCCCGCTAGCCCCGACCACACCCTTTACCATCCCATACAGCTCTTGCGTGGCGATGTTGATGATGGCAAGGGATTGGTTAGCAGTGGCTGGAGTCACAAGCCAGGGACCCGATGCTACCAACGGTCGACTTATGGCGTGCATACCGGGTGCCGAATATACGCTTCCAACGTTAACGATGTAGCTGATTTGGGGGTTTCCAGAGTCGAGATCTAACACAGCTATCTTGTCACTGTAAATAAGACTGATGTAAGCAATAAAACTTCCCTTCTTTTCGACCTTCTCATAATAAACAAGGTCGCTCACGCCACCATCGATATCTAATGTGGACTTCAAAATGGTAGCACTGTCCCTGCCAGGAATAACCAGAACATAAACTTTACTAGCAATGAGAAGGTTGGCCGACCTGTTGACGGATTTGTAAAGTGCGACGATGTAGCGGCCATCGGGTGAAGCATACGGTTCCCCAGCAATGTTCCACTTCTGAACAATTGTATCATTGGTGAGGTCCATCTCCAACAGAGCAACCTTCTTTGAGGCTCTATAGCAATCAAAGAAGGCGTGTTTGTTCACGGGGCTGTAAACGAGGTTTAAAGTTCCGGTGCAGTTGTAGTCAGAAACGTTAACAAAGGTCTTGTATGCCTTGGCTATGAGGTCGATTTGGTGCAGGCCTGGGTTGGACAAGTGAGTGACGTAACCAATTTTCCCGTCTTCCACCTCTGAGTCAGCGAACATGTACCCGTGTGTCCAACCTAAGAACGTATACAGTTCAACAAGAGCTTTGTCAGTGTATAGCATAGGTAAAACAAAAGCACTGAGGGATTTCTAAGAAACGCTAAGAAACTGAAGCTAACATAACAAAGCCGGTCTCAGCCCGCTAACAGAAAAAATGTTGCCAGTTTCGCGCGCAGGAAAACGTGCATCTTGGGTCTTGGATTCGTTTTTTTTAATTTCTTAATTCTAAGGCGCAATGTTTAGGTAAATGATCTAATTGTGGCTGTTTCGAGAACTAAAATATACAACCTTCAACTGACAAAAGAAACTCATTACCCTAAGCCTGCGTTTTGTAAAGGCGGAGTTCAAAATTCCATTTCAGTTTCATAAAATTCACAAGATGAACTTACAACGGTTGCCATGCTTTGGGAGGCTAAATTCGATGCAGTCGTCAGGTGCCACCGAGAAAACTGAAGATTGCGTTTCTCATTGGTTACACAAAAAATAACGCCAGGTCTCTGTACTGACCTGGTTGCACATGCGCCTTGATAGCCTTGTGCGTCTTACGCAGGCTTCCATCAGTGTTAATGACGTCAAAAGTAGAGTCGGTCCAGGAATGTACCCAGACCTCCTTCAGCCAATGTAGGTAGAACAAATCATAAGGGTTACCCCCTGTTTGGATTGTTTCCACGACCTTTGGAGTAAATATTTAAATTATAAGGTCATTTTACAGTTGTGTGTTCAGTGTCCTAGACTGCGAGCAAGCTCTCCGGGGCGCTCTGGCGGCCACCAGAGCGCCCCTGAGAACTTGCTTGCAGGTTAAGTGTCCTGGCGTGTTTTTCCTCATCGTTTTATAACGATCCCGAGGAGTTTTTGTGCAAAGCGGGCCAACTAAATTCTTGATCTTGAAAGTTCTTTATAAATATTTCCAGTTGAAATTTATTAAAAATTTGACAACGCAATCTATCA